TTTTTGGTTTTTCTCTGGTACCGGGAACCGAACTCACGACCTTGCACTTGCCAGGCAGGCGCTTTGCCGCTGAGCTAAATCCCCAGCCCCCGCTTACACCTTTAGGAAATAAAAGGAGCTTGGTCATTTATAGTCAACACAAAGTACATATTACCCTTCCAAAAAAAAAAAAAAAGCAAGCTAAGCCTAATTCTGTTTGTGGGATGAAAAGTTTTCCCTATAAAAAAATGTTACGTGTCAACAAAAATATGAGGCCGTGCTGGTAAAGAACGAAGCAAGGACTCCCACTCCACAGGCAACTGTTTAAAGTATTCGGTCACTTGATACAGGCTGAGGTGAGCCTCATTAGAAAGAGGCACGAGACTAAGATAGGGAAACTGAGCCAAGATTGGGAGCAGCACTGGGAGTTAACGAGTCTAAAACAACAGCTCATACAATTACAAAATGCGTACTACTGCTGTTAATTGCATTAATTCTCCCTACCTGCAAAATTCTGTTTGCTTCCTGGGATTGCTTCCAGACAGGAACTCTGACAAGAGGGAACGCTTCCAGAAAAAGGCACCCACAACGATAATGATAATGAGTGGGAACTCCCCGTTAAGTCACATGGAAACTTCCTTAGTAACATAGTGTCCTGCAAATTTAAGGCTCACAATGGGAGGGGTACGATAACTATCTTTCGATAATTTCTCTCCCTTGTATGGAAGAGAGGTTAGATTTATGCTGTGAAGTTTCACAGCAAAAAAATTAAAGATCAATGTAAAAAGTGCATAGGGTCTAACTTTATATTCAAGATTAAAATCTTCCCAATTATAAAAGTGAGAAGACAAATGTGCCACCAAAAGAGTTTTCCACATGTCCTCTATTTAGTTTTCAGGAGACCCAGACTCACTTGCATCCCCAGGCTTCCATTCACACCATGACCCTCAGCACCCGCCATCACTGAAACTCACCTACCTTTCACAATCGTCTCACGCCCTGTTTTCTTTGTGCAGCTTGCTTGACACTCACTGAGAGACTCATTATCACTCTTGTGAATGCCACATATTTTTATATTAAATTTCCTGGAGGGAAGATCTACTGGCTTTATATTTCTAGCACTTGGTCAAAATCCTAATACATCAATAAATGTTTAGTGAGGAGTCAATGGTGGTGGACTTTTTTAAAGTAATGATTGAAAGGAAATTCCTATAACATAAAAATAAACATTTTAAAATGAACAATTCAGCAGTTTTTAATAGAGTCACAGTGTCATACAACCACTACCTCTATGTATTTCCAAAACAGTTCCATCCCTCTAAAGTGAAATCCTTTTTACCCATGAGACAGTTTTTCCCCATTCTCCTACTTGTTCCTGTTATCCATCAATATGCCTTCTATCTCCATGGATTTCTCTATTCTGAGTATTTCATACAAATGGAATCACCCCTGCATGTTGCCTTTTGTTTCTGCCCTCTCACTGAGAATAATGTTTTCAAGGTTTATCTGTGTTGTTGCCTGATCAGTACTTCAATTTTTATAACTGAATAATACTCCACTGTATGTGCATACTACAGTGTGTTCATTTATTTTATCCAGTTATGATATTCAGAGAGTTTCCAACTTTTACCTTTCATGAATAGTGATGTTACAAACTTGTATGTACATGTTCTCATTTAAGTGTCTGCTTTTATTCTTTTGACTATATACCTAAGTGTGGAATTTTGGGGTCAAAATACTATTTCTATAGTTAGCTTTTTGAGGAACTGCCAAAATATTTCCCACCATAACTGTACCATATTTTATCCCAACAGTTTATGAGGAAGTACAAGGGTCCCAATTTCTCCACATTCTTGCCAATAGTTACTAACAATTTCTTTTTATTATAGCCATTCAAGTGGGTATGACGTGGATGGTGATTTTAAAACACTAAACTGTTTTGAACACATCTTTAACACCTCCAGAGGTATGTTACTCCTACACTAATAAAGCTTAGATTTCACAGTTTCTCACTGCTCATAATTTTTTAAAAGGATCTAAAAGTTATACACATTCCCAGTACCACAAAACTTGAATTTCCTCTGCATATAAGCAAATAAAATTATCTGTTGTTCATGAGTATAGCAGCGACATATACCCATCTCCAGCTATGGTACTGTGATCTTTTGCCTCCAACGTCACCATACTCATACATAAAGCCTGTTAGATCTGCAATATTTTACCACCTGAGTGAAAAGTTTAAAAACCTGGTATTACAGGTTGGATGGTAGGAGCCATAATTAACCCTAACCCCTTACTAACTGTGAAACACTCTGGGTTCACGTTATTACTAGAAAGCCAGATACAAGCCTCTGTTTCCGAAAGGATCATACACACTTTTGCTGACAATTATCCTTTCCTCTCAAATGTCAAATTAAGAAAAAAAGATCCATTAGACAATTGCAATACTTTAAAGATGTCATCTCTTTTGCATTGCTTTTACAGTTTGCTTGGAACCAATAGGAAGATTCTGTCACATTCACTAGAAAGAATCAAGTTGCAGATGCAAATTTGTGACTATAGATGTCCCTGATTTACATAAAAATTTATGATGAACATCCAAGATGTGCAATGACTGCAAATAGATCGAGTAGCAAGTTCCCTCAATCATGCCATATGATTTATGAGCAAGTTTACAGCTATGTGCTGTTATGTCCTTCAGAAACTAGGGTATTTGAATCAAATATTCAGTATAATGGAGCATGTGACAGACTATACAAATTATTTGCACAAGGTATGGTAAGTAATTTTGACTATAAAATTTGATGGCAACGTTCATCAGCAGAGCGGTCTGCCTCTCTGAAAAAACTTTGGAAATTTATGTTCAGTATCATATGGTATTCTTAGTTTTCCATATTTTCCTTGTGAAGATTCAAAAGTATTTTCTTAGAGTTTATTATATTATATTCTCCCGGTAAAGTATTAGTTTTGCCTTATAGATAAGCAAACTCAGTTTAAATTAGTCATGTCAGTTAAGTTAGTCATTCAGTTTAAATCTTAACAAACTCACCTTCCAATACATGTTGCTAAAACAGGACTCAAATAATTACATCCTCATT